CCCTCTGCCGTGTTTCTCTGGCTCCGCTGCCCCTCTGCCGTGTTTCTCTGGCTCCGCTGCCCCTCTGCCGTGTTTCTCTGGCTCCGCTGCCCCTCTGCCGTGTTTCTCTGGCTCCGCTGCCCCTCTGCCGTGTTTCTCTGGCTCCGCTGCCCCTCCGCCGTGTTTCTCTGGCTCCGCTGCCCCTCCGCCGTGTTTCTCTGGCTCCGCTGCCCCTCCTACGGGCCTAAGACCAGCATCTTGGGTGTCAGTGGGAAAGTGGAGAGCGACAAACCTCCGTTTACCGATCTCCTTCCCGTACTATGGGACCGGGAGCGATGCAGATTACATCACTTCCGGTCCCTGAGCGGTCAGTGCTCGGCTCCTGAAGCCCAGCAATTTCCACTTCAATAGCTTATTTAGAGTGTAAAGGTGACATTAGGTGTCTTTTGGACCCCCAGCATCACCTTAAAGAGGATCTGTCACCACCAATATGCTATCACAATGGGGGGGCTTGTAAGCCTCCTTATGCGATATCAATTAAAGTTAAAAAAAGTTTTACAAATAATATTAAATAAATTAAATGTAAAAAAAATGTTAAGGCCCCCACGAGCACATGTGTAAACACACGTCAGGTGCGTCTGCGTACTAAAACGACAATCACGCTACACGTTGGGTATTGCCACGGACGCCGGAGTGAGAGCAATAATTCTATGGCCAATATTTATCTGTATCTCTAAATTGATGACCTGTGGGGGCTTTTAAAGCGTTGTCTATGGACTTTTTGGGGTACTGAATTCTGTCGCAGTTTTACGGACGCACACGATTTTTAACCTGGGCATGTTGGGTATCTATTTACTCGCTGTAACCTCATCTTTTATATTGTAAAAGGGTTTTATATTGTGTTTTAGGAAACTAAACTTAAGTGCATTTTTAACTACATTTTTGGGTTTGATAAGTTGCGCTAATTTCTTGCAACATAAAAATTTGCAACTGCCGCCATTTTATTCTATAGGGTCTTGGCTTTCAGGAAATATATTATGTTTGGGGGTTTCAAGTCATTTTCAGGCCTAAAATGTGGAAACAAAAAATGAAAAAAAGGCCTTGGCGGCAAAAGGGTTCTTATGGGGTTAAAGGCGCTCAGGGAATTTCCCAACCGCAGCTGATTGGACGGCAGCTGAAGGAGATTCCTTTCGTGATCAGAGGAGCCCAGGCCTGGTCCAAACCTAAGCTCATCCCTAGTCAGGACACCATCTGCATGGAGTTTTTGCACAGTCTCCTGTGCAGGTTTCCTCCAACACTCGAAAGAACCTTGGCTCCTTGAGGGCCCTGTACGGAGTCCAGGGTGCAGAAACACTCAGTGCTATAGGAATACATGTACTAATTCGCCAGGAGGGGAGAACTAAGAGCGCACACAGGTGCACATTGCTAATTCTTTGCTGTAACATTGGAACGGCATGGGCCCTGATATGCGAGGACTTAAGGGGCGTGCTGGGGTCATAAAGCGGCCATAATAGCACTATCAGCCAGGGAGGGTGTAGAATTAAATGTCCTTTTAATGGGCAGTCAATGGAGAAGCACAATCAGGTGCAGTCCCAGGGTCAAAGCTACAAAGACAAGGACTGTCACTAGAATTCAGGGCCAACTGACAACCATATACACAAGGAATCCAGATATCTAAGACCCACACTAATTGTGTGTATATATATATATATATACACACATACACACTATAGATAGATAGATATATACAGGATGTAAACACACGCTCTATATGTATTAGTAAACAAGCACCCACCAGTAACATTGCCAATCACCCCGGAAGATCCGCAGCCTACACAACCCATAACAATCCCCCCTCGCCCGTCCACCATCTCTTACCTGCTCCACTCTCAGCTGAAGTACTGCCTTGAAACTTCACTTCCTGCTCTCGGACACATCAGCTCTGAGGAGACAACGCACCTCAACCCGATCGTTGTGCACGATGACAGACCACACGCGCCACCAATCGCTGGCCTCTGTCAGTGTCCTTCTGGCCACTGGTAAGAGATCGTCCCGCCCCCCGGGCTCGAGTCTACCAAGCTTGTGTGAAGGTGATCTGTTTGCCGTGACAGAGCGTCCTGGCCAATGGCGTCGCGGGAAAGTGTGAAGGAGGCGGAGACGCCGTTCTGTCCGTGGGGCGGCGGCCATGTTGGATTAGGGAGCGGGCTCAGCTGACGGGGGATCTTGGTGTGAGGGCGGAAGTGGTTGTGGGATTTACATTGTTTTCTTCCAGCAGTCATAGGGAGAGTGCAAGTGTTACACTAAATGGCTTATATTTATGAAAGTGAGTGGAAACAAAATCAATAAAAAGCCTTAACCGTTTCAATGCAAGTCTTTTTAAAATAATTTTTACATGCATGTTAGAATGCTCTTTTTAGGCATGAAGACTACTTTAAACCCCTCAAACATATATTTTTTGAAAGCAGAGACCCTAGAGCAGTGATGGCGAACCTTTTTGAACTCGAGTGCCCAAACTGCGACGCAAAATCAATTTATCTCAAAGTGCCAGCGCTGAAAATAAGTTTAGTATTGTATTGCAGTTTGGGCGCTCGGGTTTAAGAAACGTTCAACATCACTGCCTTAGGCAAAATAGGGAAACCCGCATATTCAAACATTAAGGCCCCATTCACACTGAGCATCACTCACCTGGGCGGATTTCCGCGCGGCCGGGATAGCGCGACTGTTCGGACGACGTTCCAATGACGATCGCGCGACCTTCACCGTCGGGCTGCATGCAAAAATTGAAAAATCGCGCGGCGTCCACGGGAAAAAGGGTCCTGCACGGGCGACATGAAGCTGTACATTAAAACAGCTCCATTGAAAAGCATTGGATGGCGACTTCTTGCGATATCATGCGGCGGAAATCGCGCAATAAAACGCCCAGTATGAATTGGCACTTATACACTCAATAAAACACATACACGCACTTGTTAAAACACACACATTACACACACACAGAACTACTAATAAAGATCAATAATTAAAACATTGCCCCCTCTCCTGCTTACCTGTTTTGCAGGGAGGGGGGCTGCATCCCTGGGGTCTCTCATCCATGCATCTCTCATGGGGGAGGGCTGTGCCTCTGTAGTCGGGCCAGTCACAATCAGGCGGCGGCCTCTAAACAGGCAGATTAGACGGCCGCTCGCGGGGGCCTCCCGGGGTCCTAGCGAGGAGGAAGCAGCCATCTAACCTGCCTGTTTAGAGGCCGCCGCCGCTGCCTGGTTGTGACTGGCCCGGATCGCGTACCAAGGCGATCCGGGTCAGTCGGATCTATTTCAATTGGTGGTCCCTGAACCTAGGCTCGCGTGCCAGCAGAAAGGGCCTCGCGTGCCCTCCCTGGCACGCGTGCCATAGGTTCGCCACCACTGCCCTAGAGAATAAAATGGTGGCTGTTTCATTTGTTTATGTCACGTGATATTTGGGCAACTCTTTATCAAACCCCAATTTTTTTAATAAAAATGCATTCAAATTAATTTTAGTGTGCACAAACACGGTCATATCTAATTCTGTGGCAAAATATAACAGATGAGGTGGAGCCGAGTATATAGATAGCAAACATCACAGGCTGGCGGCGGCCCTATCTGTCCGTGGCTGTCCGCAACTCAACTTGCCTGAATTCGGCCAAACTCGCTCAAAACAATGACCATCACCCTTCCTCCTGATCCAATCTTTGGCGGCAGGGGTGTTCCCTGCCCCTTTGTGACGCACAGCTGCAGAGCAGGGAATGTAGCTCCACCCAAACCGATTGGGTCGGGAAGAGGGTTAGGCAGTCTAATGTTTTGAGCAGGCTTGATTTTGAATCATAATGCTGGCATTGGTGAGCGGTCAGTGGTCACCGCAACTATGTGACTGTGCTGACCAATGAGAATCTCTTGTTTCTTCCAGGGCACGGTTCAGGGAGAAAGGCTTGTTGTAAATTACGATTGAAGTGGATATATTAGGGGTATATTTCGGGTGTATGCTTAAAGGAGAATGCGAACACATACCGTCGCTCGCTCACTTCTCGATCCTGTGCCGGCCGTGACAGGGGAGGGACTGGATTCCTCCCCGCTCCGATCCTCCAGCGCTGACTGGCGGAACGGACGGGGAAGGGTGCAGCTGGCTTTGCCTCTAGATAGGCAGAGCCAGCTGTCAGTCACGCAGCTGTAGCTCGCGGTATACTGAGCTTTGGGTGACGGGAGGACGCTAGTTTGTGTCCTCCCGTTACCCTTAGGAGAACTATGGGGAAAAGCCCTAACCCCATAGTTCTCCTTTAAGTAAATAACAAACTCTTCCCCCACAAACAGTATGCAAAAAGGGAGAGGCATATGTTAATGGGATTGATAAGATGTTTGGTGGCACCAGCACTGTATATGTATTTACAGAGTCTTGTATTTTTGATTACATATGAACAATGCAATTGGTGTCAAACAATAGGGCAAATGACAGCTGAAAGCATTTCAAAGGAAATGCAATTGTTACAGGGTAGATAGGAATCAAGAATCTGTTTAGTAACAAGAAGATCAAAAGTTTTCTCTGGTCAACCAATCAGCTTCTTCCACGTTTTAGTGACTGAGGAAAATGGGTATATCAAGAAGAGACTGGAATGGGGTAGGGAGAGAGAGAAAGGGAGAGAGAGATGGTATAGAGAAGGGTACTCACTGGGAATCTTCATAATTTTACTTTATTTTATTATTACTCTGTATTACTCTGTTGGACTGTTCCTGTTCATCTGCTTTTGTTGGATTAAACGCTACTCTCTGGAAAAGTATAAATACATATATTTGGGTATTTATATATTTATACACCCGCTTTATTTAAACACTACAAGGCTCAGAAGAGATTCTCACTGGTCAGCAGGGTCCTGTGGTTGCGCTGACCAATAACCACTCATCAATGCCAGCATTATAATGCTACAGTGCTCCAGGGCTGTACAGTGGAGTTTTGAAGTAAGTGGCCAGTTCCCCCTTTTGGTGTCGGGGGGCGGGAATATGTCATCTGATCAGCTGAGTGCAGTGGGAACAGAATGGTTGGGGAGGGTGTTGTGCGTTAGCAAACCTCTTCAATTTTGTAAACACATATTTGTTGCTATAAATACACTATATTGCCATAAATATTGGGACACCCCTCCAAATCATTGGATTCAGGTGTTCCAATCACCCCCATGGCCACAGGTGTATAAAATCACGCACCTCGGCATGCAGACGCTTCTACAAACATTTGTGAAAGAATGGGTCGCTCTCAGGAGCTCAGTGAATTCAAGTGTGGTACCGTGATAGGTTGTCACCTGTGCAATAAGTCCATCCATAAAATTTCCTTGCTACTAAATATTCTGCAGTCACCGGTTAGTGGTATTAGAACAAAGTGGAAACAACTGGGAACAGCAACTCAGCCACAAAGTGGTAGGCCACGTAAAATGACAGAGCGGGGTCAGCGCATGGTGAAGCGCACAGTGCGCAGAAGTCACCAACTGTCTGCAGAGTCAATAGCTACAGACCTCCAAACTTCGTGTGGCTTCTTGAGAGCTTCATGGAATTGGTTTCCATGGCCGAGCAGCTGCAGCCAAGCCTTACATCACCAAGTGCAATGCAAAGCGTCAGATGCAGTGGTGTAAAGCACGCCGCCACTGGACTCAAGAGAAGTGGAGACATGTTCTCTGGAGTGATGAATCATGCTTCTCTGTCTGGCAATCAGATGGACGTGCCTGGGTTTGCCGGTTGCCAGGAGAACGGTACTTGCCTGACTGCATTGTGCCAAGTGTAAAGTTTGGTAGAGGGGGATTATGGTGTGGGGTTGTTTTTCAGGGGTTGGGCTTGGCCCCTTAGTTCCAGTGAAGGGAACTCTTAAGGCATCAGCATACCAAGACATTTTGGACAATTTCATGCTCCCAACTTTGTGGGAACAGATTGGGGATGGTCCCTTCCTGTCATAGACTTACCCGGCGCGTCCCTTCGCTCCAGCGACGTGCCGTTCCGGCGATGACATCACGCAGACTCCGCCCACGGGGCGCGGCCCCGCAGTGAAAGGCTCAGCTGTTTCGTCACTCGGCGTTCTCTCGTTTTGGAGTGTCGAGTGACGAACGGTGAACCTACATTGTCCTTACATGTACGCCGTCCCAGAGACCACTGTCTGGAGACAGACAGACTGCAGCAACCACCTCTCATCTACCCCGGAAGTACACGCAGGGCTAGTGGCCAGGAGTCCTTCTTAGCCCAAATAGTCTATTGGGCTGAAGCAACTAAGCGCAAGTACCTTGGGCACTGTCCCTACTATCTGGGATACCAGCATTTCCAGTAATATATCTCCTGTTTCTGCCAGCATTCTGATAGCGGACATTTAACTTGCAACCTCACTTAAATGCATGACTGAGCTGCCATACTGCTACGCTAACTTTACTGTGCTTACTGAACTGCTATACTAGTCGCTGTCATCATAGATAAGCATAAGGAGGAATTGCATTAGTTGTGTTGCTTCAAACTGACTTGCATTGGAAGAGTGGAGTGCTGTAAATCATTTCAAGCTTGCTATATCCTGCACGCACACAGCTGCCATACTTGTTCTAAAATACTGAACCTGGTCAGATACCAAACTGCCTGCTTGCTACTGTTTAAACCATAGTCTGCAAATACTCATTACTGCCTGCTTGCTACTGTTTATACCATAGTTTGCAAATACTCACTTCATTACTCTGGTTACATCCAGCTGCTCCCCTTTAGTCCAAACTACATCTTAGTTAAGGGGACTTCCTTACCAATTATTCCCAAAAACCATCACCTGTAGGTCACCCCGGTGGTACATGATGCATACGGTCTCCCTACCGCACTTAGTGTAATAGGGAACCGCCCACTGAACCACCTTTTCATAAATACACTAAAATCAATTCCGCAGCTGCGATCCAGTGAGACTATATAGACTCGACGTACCTGACACTTCCTGTTCCAACATGAACGTGCACCAGTGCACAAAGCAAGGTACATAAAGACATGGATGAGCGAGTTTGGGGTGGAG